TAAGTTTTTTATCCGACATCGATCTTTTGACGTCGTCCCTAAGTACAGTGTAACCTAGTGTTGTTGGCATGGCATGTATGAGATACAGCCAACTCAAAATTTGCAACAAATTGACTAATGCAATATAATTAGGATTGGGTGCCACCAGAATATCTCAAGACATTTGATACTACTGTAAAAAAAATCAATTAATTTGTGCATCTACTTTTAAAAAACTAATTATTATTTCTTAAAATTTGCTACTTAAAATCATGTATAGCAAGTGAAAGAAAAAATTAAATGTGTTGCAAATATTTACATTTGTGTCATGTTTATTAAGTTTAGTGTACTTTAATTTGCCAGTCACTGTATGTGTGTGAACTTTTCTCTTAACCTGATGATGCTAGATCAAGTCATAGCAAATCTTCTCTGATCTTCTTTTATCTGAAAGAAAAAGTTGAATCAATTTTTTCACTACGATCACTTTCCTTTTGCATATGCTATTAAGGCAGTTTGAGTCAAATTCAAATTTTGCTCCAATAATGAAAAACTAGTATCACCCTGTAAACTCACTAAATTATATTTTAAAAATGGTTTCACAATGTTAAATTTGATATAAATAATAATATACAATTTTTCATCCAATGTCACTGAGCAAAATTTTTAAATATGTATAAATAATCTCACCATTTGACCCCAGTGTAAAAATGAAAATTTTGACCATTTTTCATAATATTTCGGACTCTTGTATCTCAAAAAATCAACCGGTGACCCCATTTTTTTTCCATTTTGGGTATTCTGATGGTACTTGTACAAATGTATAAACTTTTAATAAAATTCTGCTTGAACTTCTTTAAGGTAGAAACATGGGAAATCAAAATCAAAAAGGTCTCTGAAAGTTACTAAGCATGCTACTATAACAACCTTTACATCATATGAAAGCTTAAATATAAGCAAATCTGCCATACCAATGTTTTTCTGAGGGGTTACCTGACGGCCAATTTCGCTATTGTGCTTCTTGATCTATTCGTACTACCATTTTGTCAACACTTTCATTCACGCAAATGACCTGTGAATAGCACAGGATATTTCTAACGCTGTAGACTAGACAATTATGGTTTTTGTGTGTCTGCCTTTGATTTATAGCTGCAACAATATTATCACAGACTTGCTACTGACAACAAATTTGACTGAGTCTGAGTTGTCAAAAAAAGGCACAATGGCTCAATTGGCCAACAGGTAAAAACTATGGTAGATGGGCTACCTAAAATGTATATCCAAGTTGTAATTAAAGCAAATTTAGTAACTTTCGGAGATCAATTTTTGACAAATATCACCTCTGTTGCTGCCTTAATGCGTGGTGGTCGACGCGCAGTACGTGTTCAAATTTCATGTAAATAAACAATGTATTTTACACGCGTTGTATACGTCGCTGTGAGTCCCATATCGAACAGGATGCGGTACGACGACTGCCACCCTTTAATATATGTAATTAATTGATCATTTACAGTATTATTGAACCACATGATAGGTCTATCAGAGGTACATTACTTGGGGTTTGCAACGCGCATAGTACTGTATGGTGACATCATGCCAAGATCCCATTCAAGTCTCATCTCGTAGATGGTGAGACTGATGCTACTACCTTCTGACATGACATAGGCAGTTTGTAATAAAACAATAAAACATGTATTACCGCATTCATAGTGAAAAAATGTAATACATCGAAAATGTACAGAAAATATAGTTATCGTAATTCGTCATATCGTGAGCAGCTATTTTGATCCACCTGGACATCCCAGTATCCTAGTTACCTCGGGCATGCGTATTCGCATTTTTCTGAGTTGGAACGCTTATGCGAGAGCGAGATTGTAACGAGATCTTGGTATTATGTCAATGTAGTTGCAAACCCCAAGTAATGTACCTCTGGTCTATAATTTTAATATGTATATTATATTTTGAAAGTAGTTGATAGTTATAGTTCTGTTTGAACCATATATAGTGTTGTCAATAAAATTATTAAATTATTATTGTAAAACGTGTACAAATACATGTGATCCTATCAAATCGCATTGTCATCTTTAACTCTGTATTAAATTCAATCTCCACAATATTTGAGTTTGTTTCTAGAACAAGATTTCCTATGTTAATCCATGCAATGTGAGTCCTTATGGATCTTACGCATTATGGATCTAAATAATTTGTTTCCATATTTTGTGCACAAAAAGTGTATCAAGACAGCCAATGGTAAATTATGCTTTTGTTGTGTCAATGTTTCCAAACAAAAAAGCAAAATATGGGAAAATACTTAAAATGACATTGAAAGGGTTGATAACAAGTCCATTTATATTGTACATCACTTGTCAATGATAGGACTTTTCGCTCCTTGCTCATGACATTCTTGAAACTTTGTATTGTAGGACCTCATTTGTCTCTCTTTGTGTATAGCATGTAGAGGTTGATTTGTGAGTAAAAATACAATGGTCATCCAGGTTAACATCAAGAGCATGTCAACAAACTGATCTATTATATTTAGCCCTGT